GGAAAAGCCAGTGGAAGGAGGGTGGTCTAGATCCTTGGAACCTCAGGGGGGAATTGGGGGTAGAATTTGAATTCTCTGCAGGCACATGTGCAGCTGAAGTGCAACAGTGTGCAGATTGAGAGTTGGTCGAGAAGCACTGACCTGATCCGGTTTACTCTTGCAGAGATTACGCTGAGTCTGTGGGGCGGAAGGTGAGAGACCTAGGCATGGTGGTGGACTTGATCTTCCTCAACACAGAGGTGTCACTCTCTCAAGCCTTGGAGGATGTTAGCAGGGGAGGGTCTCCTTTTGCTATTGTCATCACTCAGCAACACCAGATTCATCGTTCCTGTACAGTCAACATCATGTTTGGAACCCCACAAGGTATGGAGACCCAAATAGGCCAGAATCTCAGAGGACAGTTGTTAGCACTTTAATTTTTCTATGCCTAAGAAATAGATTTTGGGCAGATGACTCACGTATCAGCTCAAACACAGTAGGCCCCCTCCCTAAGTTTAATGCCCTAGAAGAGACTTGCGTATCATTTATTAGTCTTATTTTCTCAGCGATACAGTTCAGAGTCTTCTTTCTACTTAACCATTAGGTGTATGCAGTAAATATGCTGGCAAACATTTAATCAGCTCTGAGGTAAGGGGATAGTCTGTAGAATTCGTTGATTTCTATGGTGTAAATACCCCCGGTATGTCCCCTTTCAAGTCATGAAGGTGAAGCACTGAAAGGAGAGTTGGAAAGAAATGCACCCATTGAGCTCTGGCCAGTGAGATCTGGCTCCCGCAGATCTCTGGTGCACACTGTGCTGAAATGCAATAGAATCCTTGCCTTCACCCAGTGCTCTAATGGGAACAGAGACTATCACAGACAGGATCCTGGTACTGTGCTGGAGAAGTGAGTAGGTGGGCTGCGAAGACAGGGAAGAGGTTCTGACCCCTAGATGCCCTTCAATTCCTTCTCCAAAGTAGTGCTTTGATACCCAAGTGTGAAGACTTAGCTAGCTGTGCCCTACTCGGGGCTCTTACAGCCTGGACTTTCCCTTTCCCACCACACCCAGGATCTCTCTTGGCCAGACTAGCTGTGCTCATAGCCTCATATGTTGGGATCTCTGGTGAGTCAGTTGTCTCCACGGAACAGTCCTCAAGATGTGTGAGGACAGTTAAGAAAGTTCTGAGACGTCTTCTCTCCATCCTGCAAAGTCGTTGCCCACTGGTAGAGTGCGAGGTTATTTGGGGTCACAATTTGATCTTAATCCATGACTTTTGAACTGATGAATTAAGAAACAGTAGGCCAGCTCTGTCCTGAGGTGCACAGTGGAAAGCCAGGCTTTACAGAGGGCTTTTTGGCCTCCTGCTGCTGGTCTCGAGGCTGCCGACCTGCCTCCCATGGTTACTCACCACATGGTCTGTTTGAATCTGTGGGAGGCTGTCATGTTTCTTTGGGTTTTACTACCAGTCTGTGATCTAGGAATTTCCCCAAAGAAAGAGCTCTATACAAAGGTGGGCATTCCCCACCAAGGATAGCCATTCCCCTCTCCTCCCCATCCCACCCCTCTCCCAGTCTCAAGGCTTTTTGTCATCAAAATGGTTTTCTTGCTAGTTTGAGGCTAGGAAAGGCTTGGTAGAGTACAGCAGGTGGGCACTCAGATCTGTCATTGGAGAAAATAACTCATGTCGTTCCCTCCTACAGAGCATCGCAACATGCCCCAGGCAGATGCCATGGTACTGGTGGCCAGAAATTATGAGCGCTACAAAAATGAGTGCCGCGAGAAGGAACGTGAGGAGATTGCCAGACAGGCAGCCAAGATGGCTGATGAAGCCATCCTCCAGGAAAGAGAGCGAGGAGGCCCAGAGGAGGGAGTGCGTGGGGGGCACCCTCCCGCCATCCAGAGCCTCATCAACCTGCTGGCAGACAATAGGTACCTCACTGCCGAAGAAACGGACAAGATCATCAACTACCTGCGAGAGCGGAAGGAGCGGCTTATGAGGAGCAGCACCGACTCTCTGCCTGGTGAGCTACGTGGCAGGGCCGAGGTGAAGTTCTGACTCTGCATTTCTCTAATCCCCAGGCTCTGTTGGGAGGGTGTGAGCCCAGGGCTCCCTGGGTGGGTGAGAGAGAGGAACCCATCCCTTGGGTTCTCTCATGGGCCATCCATGCTAATTTGATTAACGATAACTTTAAGATTCAAGTACTGAATTCTGACCCCCGTGATGCACCGTGGTGGGCTAGTATTGCCGGCTCCCTGGTAGTCAAGGTGGATGCCACTCTGACCTTTGCTTTTTTCCAGTTTTCTTTGGAAATGGGGCTATTGTCTGTAAATAGCACATATGTACCATGAAGTGGCCCCTTTGGGAAATTGATGTCATTGTCTGTGTACCATGTGATTGATGTGATTCAGTGATTGTTTTTCTTCCCTGGGCTGCTCGGCCTCCTGCCCTTGGGGGGTACTTTCAACCAGATGCCTCCCTCTTTTTGTCTTCCAGGCCCGATTTCCCGCCAACCACTCGGGCCGACCTCGGGTGCCTCGCTGAAGACACAGCCAAGCTCCCAACCGCTCCAGAGCGGCCAAGTGCTCCCCTCTGCTACACCCACTCCAGCTGCACCCCCCACCTCCCAGCAAGAGCTTCAGGCCAAAATCCTCAGCCTCTTCAATAGTGGCACGGTTGCGGCCAATAGCAGCTCCGCATCCCCCTCAGTTGCTGCCGGAAGCACCCAGAACCAGAATTTTTCCACAGCAGTGAACAACCAGCCTCAGCAAAGATCACAGGCCTCTGGCAATCAACCTCCAAACATTTTGGGACAGGCAGGATCTGCTCGGAACATGGGCCCCAGGCCTGGGGCTCCTTCCCAAGGGCTGTTTGGCCAGCCCTCCAGTCGCCTGGCACCTGCTAGCAACATGGCTAGCCAGAGGCCCATGTCATCCACAGGCATCAACTTTGACAATCCAAGTGTACAGAAGGCTCTGGACACTCTGATCCAGAGTGGCCCTGCTCTCTCTCACCTGGTTAGCCAAACCACAGCACAGGTGGGGCGGCCCCAGGGCCCCATGGGATCTTACCAGAGGCATTACTGAGGCTAAATTGTTCAACCATCCCTAGTCCCCTCCTCCCCTGGCCTCCTTCCACTTCATTCTAAATAGAGTTGTTTGGAGGATGTTGTCTGCGGCTCCAGGTCTGCACCGAGTGTCATGAGTTCCTATACCTGCGCTCTCTTCTGCCCAAGGCTGTGGCTTACTCCTCACAGAGTCAGAGCTTACACTGCATTTGGGGGTGTATCTTTTTTTGGTTTTTGGTAGGGGTCACCGAGGTAGTCCAGGCGTCTGGGCTGTTTATATTGATGGGGCTTCCCTGGTTCCTCTGTCTGCCGGATTGTGGGGGAAAGGAAGAAGCCACGTCTGAGCTGGCATTTGTCATGACAGTAGCCATCACCTTTGCTTATTTTGATCCTGCCTAGTCATGCCCTCCTTGCACGTGTTGACCAGAGCTGCAGCTCCTGCCAGGTACAGTGTCGTCACCATGCGCCATCCCATGTGTATGGGATCCTGCTCGAGGCTCAGATCAGCACCCGGCCACGAGGGGGAGCCACAGGAGGAGGGTCTCCTGCCTGCAGCAGGGTGATGACCAATTGGAAGTTTTGGGGGCGATACTTGTTTCTTGTTTTGTTTTCATTTTGGAGGATCCCTAGGGGAGGACTGAACAGCTCCAGTCACCAGCAGTTTGGCACTAACTCTTCCCCAAAACATCTCTGTCAGCACCTCCCTCTCCAGTGGCACTCCAGGGAGTGGATCTGAGAAGGCAGCTTGGACTCTGGCAGTGGATCCCATTGTTCCAGTGATTTGTTTTTTGAGAGTTTAGCTCAAAAACCCAGGCTATTGTTTTCATCTGCCTCTTGTTCTGTTTCCTGAGCAGCAGGAGGTAGGGACCATTTCGATGTCATACTGTTGGTAGCTGGACATGTTCTCGATGCAGACGGCGTTTGTAACCTTTGAGCCAGAGTGAGATGTTGGAGGGCCTCTGGCTGCTGCTCTGAATGTAGCGGAAAGAAACCACCCTCTCCCTGGGGCTGTGCCCACTCGAGCCCCGTGGATCGTCTCCACGGGCCTCTGGCAGGGCTGAGGGCAGAGACTTCAGCTGAGTCCCTGCCAGTGGCTGAGCAAACAGTGGTTTCAAAACTCAAGGTCCCCAAATGACAGCATTTTATGTTCTGACCCGTTTGTGTTATATAGTGTTTTTTTTTTTTTTTCTTCCTTTTTGGAACTCTTGTGTTGTTAATAAAATGAATGATTACTTTTTAATTAAAATGAAAAAGTCAACACTGTGTTCATCTTTCTTGGGTGTCGATGGTATCTGCAGCACCTCTTTGCAGGGCACTTTTTCCGGGGTTAGAAGGTGAGGAGCCCCTTCTGGTCTGCCACTGCTTGTCCTCAACTTAGGGTCAGGCCTCAAAACCTCTTCACCCTGCCGGAGCCTCATGAGTTTCTACACCTGCTCTCTCTCCTGCCAAGTCCCGTGGCCTCTCTGTGCAGTTACCCTAGTGAGAAGCTGTCCCGATAGTTCAGGGCAGAAGCCCACTTGCTAGTTATGCCGTTCAGCATCCTGCTTCTGGCAGACATGCAGTGTCAACAGGCGGTCCCCTTGTTCTAGGAAAGGAAGGTGGTTGTGAGGGGTCTTCTCTGGCTGATGGGGAGGGGAACACTTCTGTTTTGATCTCAGCTGGTGCTCTGTGCTCACTCTTGTGCGGGTAGCTGGTGTACTCTCCAGTCAGAACCTGAGCGCTTTAGAGAGCCCCCTAGACACCTAGGAAGTGCAGGTGCCTCCAGGCACAGGAGTGATCCTTGGGCAGTGCTTGCCGGGACAGGGCCCCAGTGCTGCCCACACACAAATTGGACAGCCAGACCCGGTGCATTCGCTTGCCTCTTCTGTCAGCAGAGTTCAGTGTTTCTGACAGAGTCCAGTTCCTCCTTGAGGGCCCCCTGGAGTTCCAAATAGCACACCTCAGGCCATGAAGGGTATCATAAAATTATTTTTATTGCATTTTGTGCAGACGAGAGTCTAAAAAATTAATACAGTAAAAGCCTTAAAGCATTAAATGGGAGCATTCAACAATAAAGGAAAGAACGAAGCCTCTCCTTTTCATATTGGCACGAAGAACACAAGGTCAATACTGAGGCAGGATGCGGAATACTGAAACACTGAAAATTAAAGGCAGGCCTAGTAATAATAGTAATAATAGTAATAAATACTCTGGATTTGGTTTGCAACCTCTCCTATTTACAAGGTTTTCAACTTCATTGCATTGCCCTGCACATAGATCTTCTAAAACAAAAGCAACACTAGTTAATCACTACAAGGCTATTGAAATATTGCACTCAGAATAAAAGTCACTTGAATGGACATGAAACATCTAGCTACAGTGATTATAAAGATAATTTGATGAATGACGTGATAACATTCATAACAAATATTGCACATGTAGCACAGAAAACTTGGGTTTTTGTTGTGGGATGTTTGTTTCATCAACGGAAACTTTGCTCTTGCCAACCAGACGGTCTGGGCCCAGATAGTGCAACTTTGGTTCCCTAATTGGTGTTGACCACCACCACCGCCCAGCCCCACCACTTTAAACCAAAATGCTCAGGCCCCCAGAAAGCAGGACCCGTGGTTCTCAGAGGGAGGGCTTTTGGAAGATGCAGGGGGCTGGTGTCTAAATAATTCCAACTTTCTGACTAGTTCTTGGAAGAATCTATCTAGTCCCCGATTAAATTTAACCGGCAGACCGCCAGACCTATCCCCAACCTCACCTGACCCTGTCTAGATGGCACCAGCTGCAGCTCTCTGCCTTGGGCTCAAAGGAAAGGAGGTGATGAGGTCAGGAGTACCCAGTGGCCCCAGCTCAGGGAGATGGGCAGGATGTCTAACTAGGTGTGCAGTTCAGGGCCCTGGGGCTGGAGATGCTGTACCCAGTCCCAGAGGGCGCTGGAACGAGCATGCAGTGCCTGTCCCCCTTAGTGCCCTGGGGGAAGGAAACAGCCCAAACGCTTTCCCTATGGGCAGAGTGCGCCTCCGACCGACCCGGCTGATGGGGAGAAGCGACAAGGACTGGAGTCAGCCCGAGGAAGCCAAAGGCCTTGGGTCCTAGTTAGAGGATAGGGAGGTGCTAACCTCTAAGCTCATGTGACCCCAGATGCCTGGGGGATGTACTAGAGGCGCTGCTAGGCAGAGAGGCCTGGCCTCAGAACACGGAGTAGGCGGCGGAAACCCAAGACCGGAGCTGCGGATTGGGACAGGGGAGGGAACATCAGGGGCGGTGCTGGGGCCTCCCAGGGGGTCTGACCCCTAAACCAGAATTGCCCCCTCCTCCCTCAACTGACCCAGGGAGGAAACTCTGGGGGTGCGCCCTCCAGCTCCACGATTTCAGTCTTTGGCGAGGAGCCATGGGATGGGGGAGCAGGCGACAAGCCAACTGAGGAGAGACGCCTGCTCCCCAGCGAAGGCACCGGGGCGGGGCTTCCTCGGTGGGGCGCGGGCCTCTCTGGGTTTCTCCCTCCGAAGAGCGCCCCTCCCCTATCCTGGCCCCAACTTGCATAAGAGCCGAAGAGAGGAGGCTGTGCACGCGCCTCTGCAGCCACAGTGGAGGCTCCCATCCGCTGGGAGGCGAGTCCACGGGAAGCAGCCGCGTCTCACTTCGTCTCCGAAAAGAACTAGAGGGAAGGGAAGGGAGCCAAGGGCGCGCGCAAAGGACGAGGAGGCGAGAGCGGACGGAGCGAGGGTGTCGAGGGACCAGGACCAGGACCACGACCCCCGCCTGGGCCTAAAGCACTTTCGCTCTCAAACTCTCGAACGTCAAGGAAAACTCGGCTTCCCAGGCCTCCGCCTCCCCGGCGCCCCAGCGGGAGGGCTGGACCGTGGCGAGGAGTCCGTTGCGCTTCTAGTTACATAAATATGGGGACTTTAAAAATACACGCGATGTCTCCTGTACACTATGTATAGGCTCGGCCGCCCGCGCCCCGCGCCCGCGCCCCGCGCCCCGGGCTGGCTGGGCGGGGAGGGCGGTGGGGACTTGGGGCGCCGACTGCCCAGCGGCGCCTCGGGGCCGCTGGGAGCGAGCCGCAGCGCGGAGGAGCGCAGCGCCAGGACCGCGGCGGGCGTGGGAAGGGGAAGGGGCCGCGTGGATGCCGGGGGTCCTCCGGGCCCCAGTCCTCTGCTTTCCGCACCTGCTCCCGACCCTTATTGCAGCGTCTCTCCGGCCCGGCGAGGCCGCGCTTAGAAAAGGGCAGCGCAGCCGGGACGACAGGGCGCTCGGGCGCCCTCTCCGAGTCAGCCCCGACGGGCGTGGCCTCCAGGCTTCAGGCAGCGGGGAAAGGGGCCAGGGCACGGGCACAGGGTCTGTATGTAAACGGTGACAGCGGCGGGGGGCGCGGCGAGGGCTCCGGGGCCGCGGCCGGGCGCGCTGGGGCCCGGGTGGCAGGTCCTGGCCCTCAGGAGTAGATGGTGATGACCTCGCGGCCGCCGCCGCGGACCAGCATCACCCGATCCAGGTGTTCTGTGAGGACCTCGAGGAACTCCATGTCTGAGAGCCGGTCAAGGAGAAAGACTCGCCCCTCCCCTCCCGGCAGAGCAGGGGTCTCCGGGGACCTCGCGCTCCTGCGTCCCTGTCCGAGGTGCTGATCCTGAAGTAGGACCGGCTCGGACCTTTCATCCCGGGACTAGGACCAGGTTCCCGGAGGCCACCTCCCCGCCCACCCCCGCCATCTTCAGTCCAGGATACAGTTTTCGTCACCGTTGCGGTTGCGGGGAGGCCCGGGCATGTTGAGCAAAACGAGCTTGGCGTCCCGGGATTTCTTCACGATGACCTCGTTCAGCCGCACGGCCGTGTGCATGCGCCGCACGTTGGACTGGTTCCTGCGGAGCAAGGGGAGCAGAGCGTGAGCCCCGGGGAGGACTCGGTGGCCCTCCCGCAGACCGCGCTGCTGGGGGGCTGGCCCTTGCAAGCCCGTGACACCCACCCCAAGCCTCTCCAACCGAGCAATCAGAGACTCCGGAGGCCAGGGGCACCCCGGGGGTCACGAGAGAGCAAGGAGAGGGGAGACCTGGCCAGCGGGAGGTAAGATGAAACATGCTGAAGCACTTACAAGTTCTCCCACTCCCTTCAGGAAACAGAAGCAAAGAGAGAAAGAGGGAAAGGTGTCAGAAGAAGAAGAGGCCGGGTCCTGAGATGCCATCACCTGCTCTCTCGCCCCGCATCCTTCACCTCCCCATTTCCTGAACCTGGAAGTCCCAGCCTCAGCACCAGGCCAAACCCTGTGAGTTCTCAGGTGGGAAATGAGCCGCCTCTGGGGCTTCAGACAGGACCCTGCTGGTCCTCTGCCACGCTGAGCAGGACCCGGAGGCCCACCCCACCCAAGCCCTTGGCCCCAGCCCATACGGCTTCATGCTGAAGAAGTCCTTGATGCCCTCCGAGGAGACGGGACTGGGGCCCTTATTCTTCTCTGCCACGGACTTGTCCTTGGTCCAGGTGAGATGCACCTTCTCGGGGTCTGTCTCACCCTCACCCTCAGGCTCCTCCCCTGGGGACGGGGAGCTGCTGGGGCAGATGGGAGCACTCTGGTCGTGGATCAGCTGCACCTGGGGGTGAAGGAAAGGCGAGGAGGTGACTCCTTTGGCAGCCAAAGGTCCTGCTCCCACTGGCTGAGGCCAGACCACTGCCGCTGCCCACCTCCTCCTCGGGCTTCTCCTCGCTGTCACCAGCCGTCTCTTCCGGGACATTGAGGCGAAGCCGAGTGTTGGCTGGATTCTTTCTCCGGATGGAGCCTCGAGACTCATCTGTGATACTCTGAATCTAGGGAGTGACACAAGTTGGTGCCAGCTCTGCTGGAAGTCACCACTCATGCCCTGCCAAGAGCTACCACCAGTGCCAACATTCAGCCAGGAACCAACCAGCAGTTCAAACAGCGCAGGACTTCCTGTCCAAAAGGACTGCACACTGACCTGGCCACTCCTCCAGAGCCCGGACCTCCCGCCATCCCACAATCAAAGTGCAGCACTGCCACAGCAAGGCTCTACCACGCACTGTGGCCCACGTCAGTTCTGGCTGGTATGAGCAAATGCCATCTCTTACCATTTTTACTGCCACCCCTGGGTAACACCCCCATCCTTGGAGGTCCCTCCTTATCTAATAAAGGGGTACCTGTTACTCATTTCCCTGAGGATCCATCAACCACAGTCTTTCTGGGGGGAGGGGGTACTGGGGATTAAACCCAGGGACAACTTTACCACTGAGCCACATCCCCAGCCCTTTTTATTGTTTATTTTGAGACAGGGTCTCACTGAGCGGCTTAGGGCCTTGCTAAGTTGTGGAAACTGGCCTCAAACTTGCAATTCTCCTGCCTCAGCCTCTCACATTGCTGGAATTACAGTCGTGCACCATGTGCCTGGCCATCAGCCCCATTCTGAGAAATGTATTAACCACACCAGGGAGACTCATAACCTATGGTCTGTCACCCTCCCCTATAAGATCTGCCCCCATTCCCCAAGCAACCTAGCCCCACCTCCAGGAGTTTGTCCCCAGTCCTGGGTATCATCATTCATGACCCTAAGGACTCCACTCCCTGGGGAGGGTCTTTCATCCACAGTCCTGGGACCAGTGATCCACACCTGGGAGGTCTCACATGCACACTCCATGGGAGACCCATCACCCTTAGCCCTGGGAATATGGACCACGCCCATCGCTACATCTGTGAACAGCCACCTGCCACCCACTTTCTGAGAGTCTGTTACATGAACCCTTGTCTCCCACCCTGGCAGCCCACACCCCTGAGGACTCATCACTGTACCTACTTAGCATCCATTACTCTCCCTTGGGCCCCCAAAGTCACATGCAGAGGACAATCCACGCTGCATGCCAAGGCTCCTCTGCCCTGTGGCTGGGGGTGGCAGTGTGTCCTCCCGCTGCCCTGTCAGGGAGCCCAGTGCCGCGAGGTGGGGGAGTAAGGGTGATAGGGTGAAGGCAGCAATGCCGGTGGCCAGGGCCAGACCCAGGCCACCCTGTGCCTGGGCAGACCCAGACCCGCAGCAGGCTCACCTCCCGCTCGCGCTCGTTCTTGGTCAGGTGCATCTGCTTGAGGATCTGGGAGCGCTGCTCCATCACCAGGGTCTTCTCGTAGGTGTAGGCGGAGATGTCGCTCTCGTGCTGTGGGCAGGGGCAGGGGCAGTGAGAAGGGCAGGGGGAAGCCTGCGCCCGGGCAGCTGCAAGGCCCAGGGAGGGAGGCCCAGGGAGTCCCTGCCCAGGCCCGGGACAGCGGGAGGCAGGGCTGGAGCACAGAGGGCAGCAACCTGGACACTAGGCAGCTCAGCACCAGGCGTGTGAATGATGAGCTAATGATCCATGAGTGACCTGGTGAGTGCAGAGGCCGTGGAAAAGAATGAAGGGTGAGTGGACACACAGGACTGAGCGCAGCAGGAGCAGGTGAGTCCGCCAGCAGCCATGTGGGTAAACCAGGGGACACAAGGGGGACAGGCGCAGAAAGTCACTGCGAGGATGGATGAACAAGAGGCTGGACGGTGTCACCACAGGAACACAGGCTCTGAAGCCAGCCCGCCTGGGTTTGAATCCTGGCTCTGCCATTCACTGTGGGTTGTGGGAGAAATTACTTAACCTTTCTGTGCCTCGATGTTCTAAACTGTAAAAAGGAAATCCTGATAATCACATCGGTCTCGTGGTTGCTGGAGAATGACTGAACATGAAACGCAGGAGCGAGTCCTGCCAGAGGGTGCGCACGATCAGCCTGTTCTTACAAAGGGGCGCGGATGCAGGTGGAAGGAGGGCGGACACCAGGATAAATGTGCGAGGCTAAGAGGTGGGCCGAGGGCGAAGCCGGCATCATGTGCTGTGGGTGCTGATGGCCCTGGACGGTGCTGGGGCCAAGGGAGAGGCCCGGGGGCCTCCAGAACTTCCCGGAGCTCCGGGACTCACCATCTCCACCACCTCCACCTCCGCCGTGATGCGCAAATGGTACAGAAACGTGGTCAGGTCCTTCTTCATCTGGATGCTGTTGTCGTCCATCTGGGCCACAGTGAAGATTCGCATCTTGCACTTCCGCCAGACCTGCGCGGGGACCCAGAGAGGTGCAGCGGGGATGTGTCCCCAACCTTCCCACCCCTCCTCGCACACACGCGTGGGCCTCGGGGGCCAATGCTGCAGTCTCCAGCCCAGCTCTGAGGCTCCCGGTGAAAACGTCACCGCCGTCCTTTACAGCAACACGCTCACCTCCAGCCTGAAGCCGGGAGCAGAGCCCCTCCCCGGGAGTCCACCGGGGAGGCCAGATGTGGAGGCCGCCCGCCCCCGGAGGTGCCCACGCGCATGCGCACGCGCACTGACCTTGTGGTGGCGCAGCAGGAAGGGCAGCAGCATGAGCATGCCGCCGTCGTGCACGATCCACCAGACGTCGATGCTGCCCTCGGAGAAGCGCTCGGGGTTCCCAGGGAACATGGACACGTTCTTGGTGACCAGCAGGGCCAGATGGCCAGCTGTGGTTTCCCGGACCAGTTCTGATGGAGCCCCAGGAAGGAAGGAGACCGGGAAACGTGACTCTGGCCCCCAGGTCTAGTAGCAGCCAGGGGGCTCCTGGCACCTAGCACCTTCCCGGAACCAGCGTCCACCCGGCCTCCTCACGTTCTGTTTGGATCCGAGGAAGTCCCCCAACCTCTCTGGCCTTCAGCCATCCCACCTGTCAGATCACAGTAACACCATGTGCCCTGTCTGATTATCAAGAACCCACCACGCGTGGGCTCCCTGAATCCTTAAGGGAGACAGAGCCACTTGGAGTTGGAGTCTGTACAGCCTCTGGGGTTGTTGTTAAACTGTGTGACCTGAGGCAAATTCCTTAATCTCTCTGTGCCGCAGTCTCACCAATAAAAGAGAGATAAAATGCCTAGTGCTCAGAGGACCCTGATGAGATTAGAGAAAGCCTCCACTTGTCTGGCACACAGAATGTATTCTATAAATGTTAGTTATCGTATTGCTATTTCCAACTATCACCAAGGAGTCAGATGCTCAGAGAAGGTGAGTCACTTAGGCACTATCACACAGCTAGGAAGGACTAGAGTTGAGACGCAGACCTCGGTCACTGTGACTTCAAAGCTGTAGCTCTTCTCCCTGCTCTGCCCTGTCTTTCCCTCAGGCCTTGAGGGCCATGAAGGAGCCAGGACAGTCTCATTCACATCTGAGTCCCCAGCACACAGCAGTGCTGGCACGTGGCCAGCCTTGGCCGCGTCTTTTGCGGGTGCCGAGAGCACACTTGTGCTGGGCCTGGGAAACTCCCCGGGCCCACGGAAGCAGAACCCACCCCTGCCCGGCCCAGCCGCCTGCAGGGTTACCAATGAAGTTCCGCCACGTCTGATGGTCCTCCTTCTGCCTCCAGTTGCGGGGCCAGCCCACGAGCACCGTGTTGTGCTGCAGACCCCCGAGGCCCCCGGACTGAATCAGGTGGGACACGCCGTCTCGCAGGTTGGAGGAGATCACCACCTGGCAGAAGCCTTTCACCTTCTCTGCCTCCATCAGGCGCCGGATAGACTGGGGGTTGCGGGGACCAGCCTCAGGCCTTCCTGGCCCTGGCTGAGGCCCCTGCAGCCCCCTGGCTCCGTCCCCCTCTCCGTATGTCCCCGTCCTGCTGAAGCTCAGCCCTGAGCATGTCAGAACCGTGCCTCCCTCCTGTCACCTATGAACCCCACTCCTGCAGATGAGTCACAATTTGCCCAGCCTTCCCACCACCTGCCCAATACCCCCCACCACCCAACACATCCCCTGACCCTGCTGGACATCACAGCCTGCCCTCCCTACTGAGTGCCACCTTCTTCAGACACCTCCCTCCACCCAGACTGAGATCAAACTCTCTGGTGGGTGGACGATCTGTTTTAAGAATTGGGGGGATATTGGGGATTGAGCCCAGGGGCTTTACCACTGAGCCACACCCCAGCCCTTTTTATTCTTTATTTCCAGAGTCTCACTAAGTTGCTTAGGGCCTCGCTAAGTTGCTGAGATTGGCCTCAAACTTGCAATCCTCCTGCCTCAGGCTCATGTGTTGCTGGGATTACAGGCGTGAGCCAGGGCACCGCCTGGCAGGGACCTTTTTCAACGCAGCGTAACAATAAGCATCTTAACGCACAGTTGATGGGCATCATACGGGAAAGTTCTTCTCACTGCCATCTTGTCAGTGAGGAAATTGAGGCTTGACGAGACTAAAACTGGCTCAAGGACCCAGCTAATGCCCACGTGGGCATGTTGTTGGCACAGCCTCCCTGCAGAGCCCACCCCCCCAGCGGCTGTCCTGGATCAACAGAGGTTGATTTCCACCTCCGCCACCCCTGGCACGACCTCGGCGAGCCATCTAACCTCCACTCCTACCTGTCAGGGGGGCCGACAGCCAGCTCATCTGGGGGCCGGGAGCACTTCGTGCCACGCAGCGTGAGGGTCTGGGCCCTGCCTGGCGTGCTGGGACCCTGGCCCTGTCTCCCTCCACTGTTCTCCCTCCTAACAGCCCTCACTGACGGCCGAGGGTCTGAGGCCTGCTGGACGTCCCATCTCCCAGCCCTGGCCTCCTCGAGGGCGGCCACGTGCTCTTAAACAGCTGACCCGCCCGTGCCCGGCCCGGTGCTCAGCACACAGCTCGCCTCAGCCCTGCACATTGCGCTGGACGGGCCAGCTGAAGCCTCCAGCCCTGGGCCCTGACAGATTGGTGTGAACGGCTCAGTGAGGCGGAAACAGAACTGTCACAAGGCATTAGGGGTGTCCTGCCTGCCCCCCTTCCTGGAGCCCTTTCCTTCCTCCAGCGCAGCCATGGCCTGGGGAGAATGGCCCCATCATGGGCCGAAGGTTCTTCCCTCCGGGTCCCCACTGCCCACCAGGCTCCACCCGGCTCGTCCTGCACCTCGCGCGCACACAGTAGCCCCGGCCCACACTGGGCGCTGCTCTGAGGACATGGGCCAGTGGATGGAGGCGAGCACATGAGGGGGAGCCACGGACCCGTTTCCAGTCCTGACAGCATCTGTGTGACTTTCACCAAGCTGCTTTCCCTCTCTGGGCCTCAGTTTCTTCCTGGGCCGGAGGTGGGTACGACACATGCCGAGTTCATGCAGAGTGGGATGAAAATGGTCCACGAATGTGAAGACAGTTTGGAATGTTTGTAGTTTGGCAGGAAAATGTCTGAGGTAGGAGTCAAGTATCTGAATCTGAATCTCTTTTTCTGTCCTTGGACGGGGGACCTGGCTCCTCTATGCCTCGGTTTCCTTATCCACAACACAGGCCCTTCTGTTACCGATGGGCTTCGGTTCAGTGGGTTGAATTCTAAGGGACTGGCTACCTGGGCCCTCAGGCTCCTCTTCTAAGGAAGAAGATGGGAAAAGCCGAGGCCACTTGATCCCCGAGGTTTCAGGGTGAGGGGCACACACTGTCTTCCTGCGCGCCCTGGCCTGGCCCCACTCACCTCCTCTGCCCGCTGGGCCTGAGGATGGTTGTCCAGAAAGGTGCCCTCCAGGACTGAGCCCACGATGGTCAGGCCCTTCCCTGCCTTGAGCTGAGAGGTCAGGGAGAGCAGCTGGGGGTGCACCACATTCTGGTCCTGGTCCACGCGCACCAGCACCAGCAGCTGAGGCCTGCCGAGGGGACAGTCACAGGACCCCCGTGTGCGCTCCCCAGCCACCCACTGCACACCCATCACCAGTTCCCTTACCATCTCCTCAGTGCCCACCCCCTGTGCCCATCACCTGTCCCTCTGAACAGTCAACCATCCACTTCTGCAACCATCCCCCCAGTGCCCATCCCTCCACCCACCGCCCAGCCCAGCCCGCCATCCACCCACTCACCCTTCAGTCTCCCCCTTCAGTCCCCCTCATACCCAGGCCGTCCACCTCTGGGTGCATCCGCACCCCACGCCCACCCACCACCATCCATTCACACTCGCACCCTTCACCACCGCCCTCCGCCCGCAGGACACCCTCAGCCTTCACGTGTCTGCTTATCTCTCCGTCCACCTCCGGCCAGTCCCCAAGCCCCTGCTCTCGACCAGACCCTGTGCTGATCGTCTGAGGATTCAAATACTGCCAAGCCCTGGGTCCGGAGCTGGCGGCTTGACCGGCCCAGCTCGTGCCTCACTCTTGGCAGAGGGGCCCGGAGGTGAGCCAGGGTCTGGGCCTGCAGAGCAGCAGGCAGAGGGCAGCTGGGCCGAGAGGCTCGGGGAGGCTCCGGTTGGGTTTTGCCTTCTGTGACCCCAGGACCTCTCTGACCCCTGACCTTCATGTGAATGAAAAGGAGGGACTGTCACTAGTCCAGAGTCCTGAGAGCTCCACGTTCTCTAAGTGAGAGAGCGATCCCACCTGTCTCCGTGGCCTTCCCTGCAGAAGCGCGAGCTCGCTACATCCCAGAGACTGGGAGGCCCGGCCCCGCGTTCACCAATTTTTTGAACCAACAGCTGAACACGTGGTCAGGAGGCCAGCAAGCTGGGTGGCACGTGGAGAGCGAACCGCGTGATCAGAGGCGGCCACGGAGCAAAACAAGGTGGGTGGGGAGAGTCGGCCCTGCTCTCTTCCTGTCCCCCCAGCACTCACCAGGCGCCCCTCGCACTGACCTCCAGTTCTTGGTGTGCGGGGGCCCTTCCTCCAGGCGCAAGAGGGCATAGCGAGCGGCGCTGAGGGACAGGCCCCGGATCCCATCGCCCCATTCCTTCTCTGCCCTGGGGGCAGGAGGGGACCACGTGAGGCCAGAAATCCCGGAAATGGCAGTGAAAACCCTGCACACAGAACTGGCTGCCCCAGGGCACAGACATCCCTCCCTCCTCTCCCAGGCTCAGGAAGGGCAGGCAAGTCCCCGGCCGCTGGCTCCGTCAGTCACCCAGCCACCGAGCCGCTGCTCCCTTGGAAACACTGCTGTCACCACCCATTTCTCAAAGCCCCCACCCATCTCCCGTCTCCCAGTCCCACCCCATCACTGCGCCCTCCACCCAAGCCCTCCCCCCACCCAGCCCCCACCGTCCATCCCCCACCGCCCCTGTGGGCCTCCCGCTCACCCGCGGTACTCGATGTACTTGTAGATGAGCCCCGCAATGAGCATGGCCACCAGCGCGTAATACCAGGAGCAGATGAACATGAGGGCCAGGCAGAGGCTCATGCCCAGGAAGGAGAGGGTCCTGCACATGGAGAGAGACCGGCATGGACAGTGAGAGTCCATGGAGCAGGGCCTGACCAGACCTGGGTGACTGAGCACCCTGGAGATCCGAGGCCGTCTGGATGGAGAAGCAGCCACAGACAGGCACCACCCATGTCCCCGTCAACTCCAGAGTCACCTTAGCCCAGGCTGGACAGCCCCAGCTACATGGGCTCTCAGATGGGGTCCCTGAAGAGGCCACCAGCAAAGGGGAACAAGGGAGTGGAGGTGGCAGCCCCCGTACAAGCCCCATGATGCCACAGTCTTCCCGGTGGCCTTGTTTGAACTCAAGTGTCCTCTTTCTAGAGTGAACAGGGTCATCCCTGCAGTCCTACTATGAGCATGAAAAGCCATAAAGTAAAAGAATAAGAGGAACTGCGGGCTCCAGGAAGGGGGGTCCCCCTCCGCTGGGCAGGACCGCTCTCCAGAGCCCAGCAGAGGAGCAGTGAGCAAGCCCCTCTTACAGCAGGGGACAGGTTCAGACCACCACGTCCTCAGCAGGGAGCTCACAGCCAGAGTCACATTTTGGATTTGCATCAGCTGCATCTGAACCACGCCACATCGTTAAGAAGCTGAGCACCCTGGACTGGGCGGGGTGATGCTGAGGCTGCTGCTGACTATGCTTCATGCCTCTCCAGGATCGGCCTCCCACTAGCTGGGCCACGGGAGGGGGGACAACGGGACGTCGCATTCAGGTTTGGGGTCCTTAGACCTGAAGGAGCCGGCCTTTGGGGTTGGGTGGAGGTAAGAAATGGGTGGGGTGGGCTGGTGGACAGGGCACCCACCAGTGGTAGTATCGAAAGCGCGGCCTCCAGTTGGGCGTCCTCAGCAGCGTCTGCACGGCACAGGCCAGGTTCACGAACATGTAGCACATCAGGAAGAACCTAGGGCACACAGAGCCCCGGAGAGACAGATGCACAGGGAGCAGAAACAGAAATGGAGACATGGGGGAGGGGAGAGGGGAGAGACCACCGGCGCCTAAGGGGTCCCAAGGCCAAATCCCCTTCTAACCCACTCTGATATTATGGGGTGGATCTCTATATAACAAAGGACGGGCTTCCATGACTGACAGGAAGTCCCCGGGGGACCAAAGTGCTCAGGTGTGGTCCTGGGCCACGGCTGGAGGATCCAGGGAGAGGCACGCACATGGACAGGATGGGGGCCACCTCGTCGAGGGAGGCAATGAGGATGCCGATCTCGCAGATGCAGGCCGTCAGCAGCAGTGCCCACGTCGGCTCTCCGTTGGCTTTGCCATGGCCAAAGACCTGGGGACAGAGCAACCGTCTCGGGGGACTGAGACCGGGCGGTCTTCTGGTCTCTGTCCTCCAGTCTTAGAAAACAGGAGGCGAGGCGGGAATCCTACAGACATGAGCCGTGGGAGAGGAGGCTGCATTTTTCATCCTCTGGGGCACCCGAGGGAACGGCAGATTTTGCCAGGTCTTGCCCACCCTGACATTGGCACCCTAGTGCAATGAAGTTCCAATGACCCCTGATGGCAAAGGAAGTTCCGGTCAGATGGGCAGATGGGAGAGGAGCTGACCGGAGGCCAGCAAGTGACCATGATATGTGCTCCATACTGTTTTTAAGCACCCTGGAGAGCTCCCTACCCCACCCCCACCCCCACCTTTTCTTGCCATTTTTCTGCTTCTCTGAGTCCTTGGCCAACAAATGGAGCCAGGGGAGGGCCATTTATTTTCCCCTGAGAGCAGAAAATTCTCAAAATGATGGCACTGACCACAATCCAAATCCCAAATGAGATCCACCCATTCCTCTTAATGCAGTGTCAAGCAGAAGGGCCCAGGAGCAGCCCAGGGTGGCCCCAGAGGCTACGCTGTCTCCTCGGCAGCCCCCAGGCAGGGGCCTGGCTGGCTGACCTACTGGGTGGGGCTGCCCTCCTGCCCACACTGACCTGCAGGAAGGGCACAATGCCATCCCGGGAGATGGCCTGTAACAGGCGTGGGGCCCCCGTGAGGCTCTGAAGCCCAGCCCCACAGGTGGAGAAGAAGGAGCCGATGACAATGACCCAGGGAGATGGCCAGGCCAGTGTGCCCACCACCAGGTTTCCATTCACAGCTTCACCAAACCTGGAATAAAGCAGTAGGGGAACAGACATCGCCGAGTGAGCAATGCCACCTGGATTTCCAGGCTGGGGTCTCCCACGCCGGCCGCGGGGCTGATCAACGCATTAGGCTCTGCAGGCGACAGAGAAAAGGCGACTCCTAAATATCCCGGGCACCTCCTGCCCTGTGTGACCTTGAGCAGATCACTTCACCTCTCTGAGCCTCAGTTTCCTCAGCAATGGGAACAATCATGAGCCTCTTCCATATAATGGGTGAGAGAATCCATATGTAAAATGCTCACTATGGTGCACAGAGCGCGGCACTAGCAAATTGGGGGTTGTCAGTACTCTGTCATCCTGAGAAAGTCTCTCAGCTTGCTAGGATCTCAGGGCCTCCATGTGAAAAATGGGTTTCTGGCTGCATCATGTGGTGATGGTGTAAGAATCAAAGACAAAAATCTTCTTAAAATAGAAGGGCAGGCTGGGTGTGGTGGTGGCGCCTTCAGACCCAGTTACTCTGGAGGTTAAGGCACGGGAATCACTGGATCTCAAGAGCCCAGGAATTCAAGACCAGCCTGGGCAACACAGAGAGACCCCAACTCAAAAGGGGGACACTGTTGAAGGACTCCAAGACCCTGGGTGAAGCACTGTAGGGGTGATCTGCTGGAATCCTGCAGTCCTGTGGGAGGTCTATGATTAAGTGAGATAGACGGAGGTCAAGCTGCCCTGAAGCTAATTGGTGTGATATGTGCAAATTGCCCACTTGGCCAGGTCACTCCCCTGCTTAACATTTTCAAGGTTTCCTCCATTAAAAAAAAAAAAAAAAAAAAGTAAAGAAAGCTTCAATTTCCAGGTATGAGAGTCAGGCCTTGATCCTGGCTCCCGCCGGTCTCCAGCCCCGGGGCCCCCATTGCATTACCTTCGAGAGGCCAGGTGCTGGGGGAAAGTGACTCTGTGGTAGGACCTCCTCCCTCCCCCCTCGTAGTGCTCCAGGGACATGGAACCACCACAGCCACAGGTACGCACACACGCAAGCCATTTCTCCCCCTCCCCTGTTCATGCCGTCCCATGTCCCCGCTGCTGGCATGTCCTTCCCCCTCCTAGCCACCTAATTAATCTCTACTCAACAGTGGACGTGGGAAGGATGAATGAGACACAACCCCCTCAGTATCCAGGATACCAAACTCCGAGATGCTCACGTCTCTTACATAAAACGACACAGGGTTTGCACATGACCTGTGCACATTCTCCCGAATATTTTAAAACATTTCTAGATCACTTCTAATACCTAATGCAGCGGAGTTCTGGGTAAGCTCTATCGCGGAGGGGAGGATGACGGGGACAGGGCTGCATGTGCTCTGTGGTTGGGGAGGACTGAACAGCGCATAATCCATTTGCAGCCCCAAATCCCTGAGGACTGGATGGCAGCCCCCACCCCTGCACATTCCCATAGCCCCTGGGCTCTCTTTCAGGCCAGTCTGACCGCTGGGCACTTGAAGTTGCTTACAAGTTGGCTACCACCCCCAAAGAGCACTTCTAGGACAAAACTGTGAGCTCTTTGTGCTCACCCAAGAACCCCGGACAGTGACCTACCCACAGATACATAAATATCAGGTGACTTAATGAGCAAATAGGCTTGTTTCTTTAAAAAAAAAAGAGAGAGAGAGAGAGAGAGACTATCGTTGTCCTAAAGGAAATGATTTAACATCCAAGCTTCCCGAATGGGCATGAGAAAGACAAATATGACAAGAAGGTCAGTGGGGAACAACCAGTGGCCCCTCACGGAGGTCTGCACCCTGAACGGTGTGTTTCCAGAATCCAGCCTCCTGCGCCCACCCTCGCCCAGACAGGTCCGACTGATCCCCTCACTTACTTGTCCCGCAGGACGACCCCCTCGATGCAGGCCCCAAACAGGACGACAGAGCTGATGTCTACACAGAGGGTGAAGGAGAACCTCAAAGTGCAGGTAGCCCACACCCCCACCCCGGACCAGCCGCCTCCCCCAGCACCCCTCCCCCGTGGTCCCCATCCAGCAAGGCAGGATACAGACCGCAGAGGTGGTGGCGATGGCCAGGATGGTGCCCGTGGGGATGGACTTCTGGGCATCCCGCAGGTCCCCAGAGCGGTTGGAGCCCGCCATGATCCCTGCAGAAGGAGAATACCTCAGACAAGCGCCAGGCACACGGGAGACCAGACTGACCAGGAAGAAAGGACACAACTCGCAGTTGGGAACCCGGGGCCCGGTCCTGGCAAGTGGACTCGGCTGAGGTCTGGCCTTCACGCCTCGTCGTCCACTCAGGACTGATGGTGGCTCTGCTTACGTGACGGGGTCGTCAGACTAAGAATCCTGAGGAGCCCCCCTGGCCTGGCCTGCTCGTCCCTCCCAGGCAGACGCGCCCTCCAGAGCTCCCTTCACCTGTGACTGACGGGAAGTAGATGCCGACCAGCAGGGTGAAGTAGGAGGTCATATCACTGAAGACGTAGGGGTGGTCCATGTCGACGGGAGTGCCATCCGCCAGGCCCACCGAGGGCATCCCACGCTTCTCCACAATCACCCCCTTGGTGAGGTAGGAGCTCCACAGGTTCTCTGTGGGGAGACGGGATGCTCAGGGGAGTCCAGGGGTCGGGAGACCAGGTTTCTGGGGCCAGGAGGTGGGGCTCCCTGGTCTGGGCTACGTTTTATTCCCACCAACATTTCCTCTGTCCTGCTTGCTGCTAGGCCATGTGCATAGATTTCACAGATGAATAGGACCCAGTCCCTGCCCTCAGACAGCCCCATCTAGTGGGGAAGACCCACAAGACTAACTCAGACTGACTCCACACGTCCCAGGTCGACCTGGTCACTGCCCCCACGCCATTCCTGCCTCTTATCCCAGAATGACACCACTACCTTGGCCTTGCCCTCCACCACTCCCTCCCCTCCCCCACCTCAAAACATGGCCAACCTCTGCCCATCCCCCTCCTCAGCGTTTCTCAGATGCCCTTGTCTTCATTCCAGGTTCCTCTGCCTGGCCCAAGTGACATGTCGGCCAGGTGACTCTGCCGTGGAGGGCTACCCACAGCCAGCAGGATGTTAGCCGCACCCCCTGCCTCGACCCTCTAACTTCCAGTCGCACCCCCAGTTTTAACAACCAAGCGATATCTCCAGATAGGCCAGATACCTGGTGGGTGGCAAGAGCACCCTGTGAAGGACCCTGTCCCATTTCTGCCGACACTCCTCCTCTAGCTCGGAAGGAATGTCATCTCCAGGGGTTCCGTGTACCTCCTCGTGGACCCCACTGCCTTCAGGACACAGCCCAACCTCTCCGGCTTCTGAGGCGGCCACAGCTGGCCCATGCCAGCCTCTCCAGCGCCACTGCCTGCCCTCTTTCCTTTGCACTTTACGCCCCAGTCATGCCAGACAACTTGTGGTTGGGAGGACACACTATGCCCGTCTGTGTCTGCGAGCGCTAAGCAGCTGTTCCTCAGTTTGAGATTCCCTTATGCCCTGATAGAACTCCAGGCTCACATTTGTCCTTCAAAACCTGCCTAAGGTGGGTATAAGAATCTCATCTTGTCACCTGATGCACCTGAAGCCTCCCTCCCCTGAGAGTTCTCCATTCACCGAATACACATCTACGTGTAATGGAATTTACTTGCTAATGTATCTCTCTCTGTCACTAACTCCTTGGGGACAAGGACTGTGACTTATTTATTTTGTGTTACTAGTACTTAGCACAGAGTTGGGCACTTGGCAGGTATTTAGTGAACATCTGTTAAAGTGGTGACTTTCTTTCCTTCTACTGGTGAGATTCTTGGCTCCTTTGCATCCCCACCCCTCCAAGAGGCTAGGCCCAGAGTAGGTGCTCAATTAAAGCTGATTGAATTTAACTGAATCCCAAGGAGGGCCTCTTCATCTGACCGCGTGACCTACAATCCCCGCAGTGCTCCCTGGACACAGCCTCTTCCCTCCCCCCAGACCTTTGATGAGGCCGCTGGCAGCGCCAGGAATGCCCTGGATCTCCGTGACATTGTTTCGGGTGAAGTACTCATCACAGGTAGCGTTGAGAAAACGTGAAGAGCAAAACAGGCCCCAGAGCCGCGTGGTCACCGTCTCATTTCCTTCCCAGGCCAGCTTGGCACAGACATCAAAGCCATGGCGCGACAGCGTGCGGTTCCCCAGGAGGCAGATCCTAGGGAGAGGAACAAGCTAGGAAGATGGGGGACAAGGCCTCACCCTGGCTTCACAACGGAACCCCAGGGGACTCAGGGCCCGCACCAGGGGGATCTGGTCTCATTTACATGGAGCCTGTGCCCGTGTTTGCGGGGTTTGGTTGGATTTGGTTTTTCCGAAGCTCCTCCAGCGATTCTAATTTCAGCACCGTGGACAGCAGTCTCCAGGCCGGGAGGGCGCCCCGTTCAGAGACCTGAGGCGGGCCCCTCTGTTCTGCATCCCTTCCCATCCTGGAGGGGCCGTCCACACTAAGGCTGTCCCGTTCTTGGAGTTGTCCTATCCAGTGTGGATCCTTCAGAGGTCAATCCCATTCCCTTCTTCCTAAGCCCACCCACCAGCCAGCGGCTGACCCTCACCAGGGAAACTGCTCCCACCCTGAGGAAGCAGCCCAGACAGGGAGAGGTCTTCCTCCCACAGAGTGGCTCCCCACCCACACCCCTTCTGCGAGGCACGAGAGGGGGCTTGGCAGGGGCCTGAACCAGGGGCAGGCAGAGGGGATGGCCGTGCCTTGGGCAGCACTCACGGAAAGTTGGGTGGGTCGAAGGCAGACTTGATGACCCCGGCGTAGATGGCCAGGATGGACAGGATGACACAGCCCAGGAAGACCAGGGCGAACTTGTTGACATACTTGACGCCCACAAACACCACAGTGGCCATGCAGGTGAGCACGCAGGTGCCGTAGACACGCATGTTGTTCAGCATGGCCGCCGCCTCTCCGCTGGCATCCTCTGCCTTGAAGATGGCCATGGCCGGGAAGAGGTACGCCTGCAGGAAGCCCGCCAGGGGTCAGGCAGGGGACCCAGAGAGGACCAGCTGAGGCTCACCCCAGGGAAGTCATCTGAACATGGGCACGGCTGTGGGGGCCGGTGACGCCCGCCACGGCACAGCGAGTGGGGCCAAGACCCCGGGTCCTGAGGGTGGCCGAGGAAGGGCGGCCCACCCTGCAGGACAAGGCCTCAGCCGTCAACCACAATGATGAGCGGCCTGTGGTCTCGCACTTCCAGCAGGAAGGTGGAAGGAAATCGGTGTTCATTACCAGAGGTTGGGCAAATGAATCACATTCCGACATAAACTACGGGGCTGTTAGAAAAGGATGCACAGGGTCACCAACAGCCCGCAGCACAGCGTGTGCTCGGCTCGCACACAAGGCCCTGGGTTCGGCTCCCAGAGCACACACACCCACACACCCACACACACCCTCACACAAACCATGGGTTTATATAGGCTGACTAAAAAAACTACACGTGTGATATTGGTGGACTTAATCAGGTTTAAAATAAGAATGCTGTATGATCTCATTGTTGTAAATTTATCTGTGAAGACAGAGATATGTGTATGTCTGCAGTGTGTCTGCAGATACATCAAAATATTAACAGCGGTTTCCCCTGAATCATTAAATTGTGCCTAATATTTATTCTTCTTGCACATCTGCACTTTCTAAAGTCTCTGTGCTAAACATTAGTATGTTTATATTCTCACAAAGTTATCTTCTCTTTATAAAAGTTTCCAGTTATTCAGGGAGATTCTTATTGCGTGAAGGTATATTTACAAAGATGGAATACAATATCATTTAGAAAAGCAAAAACTAGAAGAAAATGCACCAAAAAGATCCTGATGATTTTCTCTAGATGATATTTTTCCCTTTTTTCAACACTTTTTTATTTAATATTTTTCCTGTTTTATGTAGTGGGTAGTTGCGGCTGGCGCTGAGGACCAAGCCCAGGGCCTCATACACGCTGGGCAAGCACTTTACCACTGAGCTTCATCCCCAGCCCAGAATTTATTATAATACACATTTTAAAATCTTTAATTTAAAATAATGTTGTAGTTGTATATGGACATGATGCCTTTATTTTTTAACTTTATCTTTTTTTATGTGGTGCTGAGGATCAACCCTAGCGCCTCACAGTGCTAGGCAAGCACTCTACCGCTGAGCCACAGCCCCAGGCCACAATATTTAATTTTTAAAAGTTACAAACGTCTGTTCTTCTTCTCTCCCCATTCGTCTCCTCGGGTCTTCCGGTCCCCATGCATCCTCTCCACCCCTGATTTCTCCTGTCCTGCTCCCAAACCGGAGCTCTGGCACCTTGAGCAATAGCTCTTCAAGGCAGTGCAGTGGGGCCAGGGGGCAAGCACAGACTCTGGAAGCCCAAAGACACAGGTCCACGTCCTCCCCATGTCCCTTAGGCTCTTTGAGACTTGCTTTCCTCATTGTCAAGTGGTCATCTTCCAGCTCGTGAACGAGTCAGGAGGGTAAAATCAAATGACATGCAGCGAGCCTCAGAGCCTGCGTAGGACGGGGCGTGGGACTGTCGGCTCTGCCTTCCGTAAACCAGGGCCCCTCACTGGCACCCACCTGGGCGAGGAGGGTCTAGTAGCCCTGTCCTTCAAACACAGCCCAGGGCCTGCCTTCTGCCCATTTGCCACTGCTCCTAACAGACCTCTTTCCAGGGGTCCCCACGTGGTTCTTATCTCTTGTCATTCAGCAGCCACGGGCCCTTTAGAATGACCATTCCCGGAGTCCTTGACACAGTCCCTGGCACGTGGGAGGAAACCACATAGTAGCTATTGTGTGGCTTCACTGCTTTTATTATTATTATTATTGTTGTTGTTGTTGTTATTTAGTTGTAGTTGGACACAATACCTCCATTTTATTTATTTATTTTTACATGGTGCTGAGGATCGAACCCAGGGCCTCGCACGTGCTAGGCGAGCGCTCTACGCTGAGCCCCAGCCCCAGCCCCTTCACTATTATTAATTCTACTATGATTTTAACTCAACCCATCTCTGCCACCTTCCTGAAAACTGAGTGACCCTGGGCACGTTATCTTACCTCTCTGAACTTCTCATTTGTAAAACGGGCGTCATAATATTTAACCCTTGGGAGGATTCAAGCTAATGGCTGCACAGCACTTGGAACGGTGCTGCGAGCCATGTGTGGGCCTGATGAACGACAGCTGTTGGTGTTGCATAATTATTGTATCTCCTCTCCCCAACTAGGCTGGGAACGCTTTCAAGACAGAACACCTGATTCCTCTGGGCCTGGCTGAGCAGCCTGGCCGACAGGAGTCTCAGGAGCACTGGTTCCCTGGCTGACCGCCTGGGACCCCACGTCTCCTCCTCAGACCCTCTTTTTTCAGAAAGATTTTTAGCTGTAGATGGACACAATATCTTTATTTTATTTATTTTGTTTGTGGTGCTGAGGATGGAACCCAGTGCCTCACTCATGCCAGGCGAGCTCTCCACCCCTGAGCCCCAGCCCCAGCCCCCTCAGCCCCTCTCACCAGCAGGATCTCAATGGTGCCCAGGATGTACATGGCCCCAGCAAAGGTAGTGCCGAGGTAGAAGCAGAGGCCCACGGCGCCCCCAAACTCTGGGCCCAGAGACCTGGAAATCATGTAGTAGGAGCCACCAGCTGCAGAGAAAGCCGAGTGTCAGCAAGAGGGCCCAGGGGCACTGGGCTGCCCTAGGGGACGAGGAGGGCTCAGTGACAGAGGGCAGAAAGGGTTGCTCTGCCGCAGGCTGCAGCCCCCAGCAAGGGGACTGGGGGAGATCCAGCCAACCATTCTGTGTGGATCTTGCAGCACTAATTAGCAGCATGTTGCTAATTACCCCTGTAAGGAGGTCATGGCCCAGAAGCTACATGTCACCATCCTAGGAGGGTCTCAGGCTGAGGGGGGAGGGCTGACACTGCCCTATTCAACCCCCACAATGGCCTCCCTCTTCCACTCCCAAAAAGGCTGTCCTGGCCTACCCCATAAGCAGACGGAGCCCAGGCCCCTGGTCTGCAATATTGCCTCTCTCAGGTCCTCCTTCTGACCATCAGGCCCCTCCCGCTCCCTGGAAGCCCCTTCACATACCAGGCACAACACCATTGGTTGCAATGGCACTCATGGAGATGGCCGTGAGCATCGTCTGTAGAAGAGACATTATCAGAGTGGCGGCTGCCGGGGGCCGCAGTGGCCTGGGTGGAGGCCAAGCCGTTTACCCCGTAAACACCAGCCAAACCCACAGGTTCTCTTCTGCTGAGCTTCTCCCTGGGCCTGTTCCAACTTCTCTTTGTGCCAAGTCCTTCTCAAGAAAAACTCTTATTCACCATGTGAGTGGATGTTCAGGAGCGTCAGTACCAGAGAGCTCTGGAAACCCCAGTTTGGCCCCCAACCAGCCACGTGACCTGGGACAGCTCACTTTGCCTCAGTTTCTTCATCTATAAAATAGGTGCAATGACTTCTGCACTGGGTACGTCGCATGCAGAGCTGTCTCAAGGTTATATTCGAGGACACAGAAACGTGTAAAAGAATTTGGCGTTCATTGAATAGTTGACTTTTTAGAGAGAATGAGAAGAATCCAGTTGCAATGTTGTTTGTGAAATATAATCTCAATCTACCAAAACGTCAGCTTTTGTGGGATTATCGGTGAACTCTAATTTCTTTGCTATGCTTATTATTTTATCAATGAATCTGCATTTAATTACTTGTGTAATTAAACACACTCGCAGATCCACGTGGAACCTGGTCAACAGCCATCAGGGACGAGCCCATGAGATGCGGAAGGGCCAGTCAGACCTAATCTCCTCTCAAAAGTCACCAGCAGTGGCTCCTATAGAAAGCCCAGGTCTCGAGCCTCCACCTCCCACCTCCCACCCCCAGGCCTCTGCCAAGCCCCAGCTGTCACAGGGGGCAGTGTCACTCACACAGGAGCAGCAGATGAAGACCATGCAGAAGGACTCCATGATGCCCGCTATGCCCACCACCCAAGTGAGTCTCAGGAAGAGGATGACGCCAAAGATGTTCTGCAGACACGGGAGGTACACACCCATAAAGGTGCCCATGCGCGGGGCCTGCAGGGAAGCCAGCGTCAGTGTCTGGAGCCCCCCCATCACCAGCACCCGCCCGCTCCTCCTCTGTGTCCCACTCTTGGTCCTGCCCTCTCCTTCCCCAGCCCTCATCCTGCTCCTCTGACTGGGGGTGTGCTGCTGGGGATCAAACCCTCAGCCTCACGCGTGCAAGGCAAGCGCCTTTCTACTCTGAACTGCATTCCCAGCCCTTTTCATTTTTTTCTTTTGAGACAGGATCTTATTAAGTTGCTTAGGGTCTCACTGAGTTGCTGGGACTGTCCTCAAACTTGCCATCCTCCTGCTCAGCCTCCCAAGTTGCTGGGATCTCAGGCGTGGGCCTCCTGCTCAGCCTCCTTCGGGTTTCGCATACTCTTTCCTTCCTCTCCTCCATCCCCCACTCCACTCCACCATCCGTCCTTCGAGCCACCTCCTCCCTCCTCCCTCCCATCTCCATCCTTCACCTCCTTGCCCTCCCTCCCCTGCCCTGCCTCCAACACCTCGGCCTCTACCGTCCACCCTCCATCCTTATCCGCCTCCTCCCAGCCTCCCGCCAGGTCCCACCTGCACCGGCTTCTTTTTCCCGCCCTCGTTGTTTTCTGCCTCCTCGTGCTCCCTGCTTCCCTGGGGCAGGTTGGTGTAGTTGGCCAGGCCACTGAGCAGGGAGGACACCATGGGGCTGGTGTCCATCTCCTCCTACGAGGAAGGGTGTCAGTGTCAGGAGCCTGGAGGCCCAGGGGAGGGCTGGGAGGAGCTGAGGGTGGGAGCAGAGGGCCCAGGACAGGGAGAGCCCTGGGTGGGGTGACGGGGCCCAGGGAAGGAGGATGGGGGGGGCAGAGAGCGGAGAGGGTGAAGCTGGGGGGAGGGCGACCCAGGCGGAAGGCGGCCCAAGGGAGGGGTGGAGAGGATGCGCTCTTCCTGAGGAGGAAGGAGGAGACGGACGGGTGGCGGGGGTCCGCCAGCCCGAGCAGCCCACCTCAAACAGGGCCATGTTCTTGCCGTCATACTCCTTGCCCCTCTCCGTGTCAGTGCTGTTGATGAAGGGGCTGCTTTCCTTGGGGTTGCCATCACCTGAGGAGGCAGAGAGTCAGGGGTCTGCCACCAACTGTTTGTCCTCCGTCCACCTGGGCATACAGTTGTGCAGCCACTTGGACTCTCTGAGCCTTGGTCTGCACGTTAGAAAAATGGGGCTCATGCTATCTTCTCTGTAGAATGGACAAAGAGCCTGTTACACTGCCTGGCAGAGGGTGAACGTGTGAGTGCTTCCTTGCTCTGGGGGGGGGGGCTACTTCATTCACCAGAGTACCCCAAGACCCTCCAGAGACCCCATTTTTTCCTAAGGTACTAGGGATCAAACCCAGGGCTTCACACATGCGAGGAAAGCACTCCGCTGCTGAGCCACAGCCTCAGCCCTTTTATGTTCTATTTTGAGGCAGGGTCTCACTAAGTTGCCTGGGCTGGCCTCAAACCTGCAATCGTCCTGCCTCAGCCTCCCAAGGAGCTAAGATTACAGGTTTGTGCCCCATGCCACTTAGAGTTCCTTCTTGAACATAACCAGGACCATCCTGGTGCTTTGGGGTGGACGCATGTTCCTTCCTGGGGAGAAAGGAGAAGAGTGCGGTCTGAAGCCCCAAGGATACTGCACGTCCTGGGAGGTAGACCTCCCACTGCCCCCCTTCACTGTCAGTCAACCGGATGTCTACCAGGTACCAACATGGGGAAGTAAACACACAGAATGAGATGCCGTCCTTGTCCTTCAGGAACCAAGCCAAGGGAGATGAAGCAGTGATCAGGAATTTCCAGCAGATGCTGAATTTATTTGTGGTGAAGCACTATTGGGAGCTCAGGCTGTGTGGGAACCCAGGAGGGCACTCAGCCCAGCCTGGGAGGTTACGGAAGGCTTCCCAGAGGAAGTGACGTGTTGGCTCAGAACTGAAGGATGAGTAAGAGCTAGACTGGGAGGGAGGCGGGGAGGGTGTCCCAGGCAGAGAGAATAGCAGAACAGCATGTTCAAAGGCCCAGAGGGGAGAGTGAACCAAGTGGGTTAGAGAAGCTCAACAAAGTATGGTCTGCTGGAGTTGCAGGAAGGGGCATGTTGGGGCTGAAGAATAAGAAACGGCAAAGATGAGCCTAGGAGTGTAAATGTGGGGTGAGCCTTTGACCAGGTAGCCGATGATCTTAAAGAATTTGGAGGACAGTGGGCAATCATGAAGAGTTTAACACAAAGAAATGTCACAAACAGGCGACTGTGTTTCAGAGCCATCACTCTGGCCTTTAGGTGAGGAATACAGGAACTAGAGACTTCTGGTATCCAGGCAAGGGCTGGGGATGACCCAGACCAGGGCAACGTGAGGCAGTGGACAGACTCGGGAATTACTGGCACATTTCTATGTCAGATGATTGGGAAAGGGGGAGAGGAAAAGAATCCAAGATAATGCCTGGGGTTCTACCATGGTGAACGGGTGGGTGATGGTGCTACCTTAATAATTTGGGAGACAAGAAAAGGGGTTTGGGGTGGGGCAGATGCTGAATTTAGTTGTGGTGAAGCACTATTGGGAGCACGATCTGGAAGCCACCGGGATATATGGATCAGATACACCAAGGACAGAAGCTGGGCCAGAGAAAGGAGAGCAGAGTCCCACGTAAAGATGCGCAGGCAGAGAGCTGAGCCATGCCTCAATGAGATCACTCAAGGAGAGAATTCCCCGGCATCAGGAGAGGGGTCCCTTCAGAAAGACCTGAGGTCTCTGCAGGTACCTTCCCTCCAGTCACCATCTTCCCCAGATGCAGGGCTGAGTCTCAGTAGTCGTCATCTCTCTGGACCCTAGAGAGACTCCCCAAATCCCCAGTGAAGTTGAGGCCCTGTGTACCCTTGAATCTCAGACCCCTCCTCTCTTGGTATCCCTCTCTTCCCATCCCCATCTGTTCGAATGCTCTGCATCCTTCTCCTGACCTCCTGGACACCTTCCTAGTAGTCCATACAGGGCCCATTTCCAGAGCATTACCTGGCCCTCTTTTAAACCCACTTCCATCCTGACTAAAAACCGGGGCACAGGAAAGAAGTAACGTCTTACCTATTCCAGGGAAGCCCACCACCTCCCAGTCTCCTGCCTCCACTTCTACTCACTCATCAAGACGAGGGTGCCTAATAGAGGAACATCACCAGCTCTTTCTTCTCACATATGAGAAAAACAGAGAGATGTTCAGGAAACAGTCTTTGGAGATAAATTCCTCAGGTCTCCCTTTATGGCCCCAGGTCATAAGAGAGCTGTCTGGGGCCACCGAACAGGAGAAATAAGAGTCAGGTAGGTGGCCCTGTGTTTAGAATGCCGACAAGGTGCCTCCTGTTCTCACCGCATCGTGGTGAGCACTAGAGAGGCTGAGGGAGGGGCATGGGATGAGAGGAATTTCCTGATGGTTCAGGAAAGGGGCTGGAGTCGGAGATCCAGGTTGCAGCCCCAGTGTCACTGGCTTTGCCTTCACCTCGGCAAGTCACTCTCTAAGCTCGGTTTGCAAAGGGAGAACGCCCGGTGTTTAATTCATGGGTGGCGGGGGATTAACTGGAATAATGCGGGTTGGGTGTGCCCACACAAGTTAGCTATGCGCTACTATCACACCCCTGGGGCCTGCCAGTTGGGGCTTCTCATCCCACAGCCTCCCTCAGCCTCAAGATTTAGGGGTTGCTCTGTCTCCTGTCAGACTAGGTCCCTCCCCAGAAGTGTCCCCTTTTAGGACCAGGACTAGACATGACAGACCCTCCAATCTGCCCTTTTACACCCCCTTCCTAGTCCTTCTTCCTTTACTGGGGGTACGGAGGGAGCAGGGACCCAGAAAGGACCGGAAGGGGGCAAGCTGGCCGGAGACCCCGTAACGAGGCGGCCCTGCGCCGGTCTCCATGGTGACCGCGCGGGCCAAGAGCGCCGCGCCAAGCCGAGCAGGCCACGCGCCCGCAGCCGCTTATGTAACGCGGCGCGCAGCGCAGACCTGACTCCAGGCCGGATCCCGGCCAGCAGGAGAGGGCAGGGGAGGGGGCGCCTCGGCCAGCCCCAGTCCCGCGTTTCACCCGCCGCCGGGGCGGGACGCCAGGCTGCTGGCCTGTCAGCCAGGCCGGTGGGTCCCCTCCCCGGAACGCCCAGCGCGCGGCTTGGGGGGTGGGGAGTGAGCTCCGAGTTCTCGCAGGAGCAGGACAGCTCAGGGGAACTCGCCCTGACCCCCGAGCCAGAGTCGGGGTGACGGGGAGCGCTGGGCGGCGCGCGAGGCAGGCCAGACCGAGGCTCAGCCTCCCGCCCCCGCCCCCGCCCCCTGGGAGCTCTCAGCCCGAATCGGCTTTCAATTAAGCTGCGGCGGCCAGAGCTCCCGGGGAGGACGCCGCGAGCGGGCAAGGGAGCCTCCCGGGCCTGGGGCCGGGCCTGGGGGAATCCCCAGCCAGCCTGGGGGCGAGGGGGCGTAGACCCCACGGGAAAGGACAATACCCTTGCATTTTTCTTTAGTCCAGAGGAGCCCTCTTATCGGGGCCATTCTCACCTCCCGAGGTCAACAGCCAGCTCCTTCCATTCAGCCCCAAGAATCCAGAATCTGGCCTGCCAGGGGTTCTTGGACCCACTTTCCTCCAGCCCAGAAAGTCCTTAGCTCCTCCTACCACCTTTCCAGCGTCCCTGGGAGGCCTTCTCTCGTTGGGACCCAGAACCTGCCTTGACACAGGTTCTGGCCACTCTAGTCCAGGTCCTGGACCATGTATGGTCTCTAATGGGCCGGCTATAACAGCATGTAGAAACTGACGGGGAGGGGCAGGACTATATAGAGTTCCTAGTTCCACTCCTGCTTCAAACCCAAAGATGCCTCTTTACTAGGCCTCCCAAGACCCCATGAAAACCCCGAGGCCCAATGAAGCCTTGGTAAAGAAAGTGGGTGCTGAGGGACTGGGCCATATCCCACGCCTGGGGGAGAAAAGAGATTACCTTGCAAGCTGAGCCCCTGTCACAAAGTGGAAGCATCTGAAGGGGATCCCGGATGGAAATGAAGTCTCCCCCACCCTGACTTTGCTCCCTGAGCACGGAGTCCGCATGCCACGCGCTGCCGCAGACTCAACTTTGCCAAACCCCCTCTCCCTGCAGCCAAAGCCCGCGGGGGAGGGGGCGGTTGCCCAATGAGGTGACCCCAGGGTCACTGGGGAGATGGATGAGTTGGTCAGCTGGTAGCTCTGGTTCCTGTATGCCACTCAGCCCCCAAGAAAAAATGGGGAAGGGGTGTCTCAGACAAAGGATCAGGAACCCTGGTGTCCCCAGTCTTCCCTGCGGCCACTTGGCCCTGACTGGAATCCAGGATAGAGGACCTCAGAATCGAAGCTGCTAGAGTCTGGAAGACCCCACTCTTTCAGCTCTTGAGGCCTTTCGGTCCACCCCCAGAGAGGTCCACGGGAGTCTCAGCCCAGAGGGTCAAGCAATGCAGGGGGTGGGGGGAGCGTTGGAAGGCGCTGAGCGCAGACAGCAGGCGCGGGAGGCGCGCTAGTGCGCAGGGGACGCAGCGCCGCTGGAGGGTGGGGGGTGGGGGCGGCTGACAGCCGTGATGGATGGCTGAGACCGCTGGGGGGCGGCGGGGGGCCTGCGAGCCCGAGGGGGTGGCTGGCCCCAAGACCTCGGAGCAGGAAGACCGCGGAGGAGGGCCGGGGGAGAGCGGGAGCAGCAAAAGGACTTGCTCGGAGCCCCTCTGCTCCTGGCCATCTCCGCACCCACCGCAGCGCGTCCGCAGTGTCCGCGCCGCGGCGCCTGGGATTCAGTTGCTGGGACCCCATTTCTGAGGCCTCACTAGGAAAGCTATCAGAGCTAACTAAAAAGACTACCCCCTGCCCCGCCCTGGAAACCACACTGTCGCCCCAGGTTACCAAGGGGAGGGGGGAAGGGAAGAAAGGAGGGTGATCTTGCTTCCCGTCCTGAACAGGAACCCATGGGGAAGCGAGAGGGAGAGGGAGATTCCGTAAAGTAAAACTGAAAAATCCACGGAAAAGATAGCTTCAGTCTGAGGTTGGAGCTCGGGAAGCCTTGGGGGAGGGGGTCCGGATTGCACCAAGTGTCCCCTTAAGGGAATGCCGCAGCCCAGACGGGGGCTGTCATATGCCCCCAAATCCCCAGAGCTACCTTTCCCCCCACCTTCCAGCTAGAAGTCTCAGAGCAAGAGACTGCAGCAGACTGCGCCCCCCGGCATCACCAGCCCCTGCTCTGCGCCAGGACGCCAGGGTCCCCTCTCGGGGAAAGGAGCCTTCCCGCCCGTCGAGCTGCATGTCAGCCCATTCTGGCTCTTCCATTCCCTTCCCACCTCCTCCTCGGTTTAGCTAACCTAAGTCTGTCCCCAGGCCGCGGGTAACAGCCCTTCGGCCCCAGCTCTGCCCCCGGGCGCGGCGCATTCCAGCACCTCGGACAGCGCGTAGCGCATTCCAATGGAGCTGAGCTCCAGGCCGCCGCCGGCGTCCACCGCCCGGTCAGTCCTAAAGCTCTTCCCTAAAGGAAGCCGCCCCCGCTCCGCCTCTCACCCAGCACTGACTCCCTTCCTCGCCGCCCCCTCCCCCGCGGCCCCCGGACCACTGCTCACCCGGGTTGGCTCCCCCGTCGCCGTCCTCGCAGTCCGTCAGGTTGTTTAGCATGGTGGCGGCGCGGCGCCGGGCCGGGGATGGCTGCGCCGCTTCGCTCGCGCCCCTCTGCCCGCCTTCGCCGCTCTCTGGCTCGCTCTAGCTCTCTCGCTCGCTAGCTCGCTCGCTCTCCGCTCCACAGAGGAAGGAGCTGCAGTGCCCGCCCGCCCGCCCGGCGCACACACACTCGCACACGGACACACGCTCACACCCGCGCGCGCCCCCTCTCAGCAGCGGCGCTGCTCACCTCATCCCGTATGCAGGAGGCGTGAGCCACTGGCGGGGTTTTTTGGGGGGGAGCTGTAGGGAGGGAGAAGAGGGGACGTGGGGGGGCGGGCAGAGCGCGACTGTTGGCCCCCTTACAGGAAAACGGGGGCGTGAGCGGGTGGGATAAAGGGGTTGCGGCGGGGGACGGGCCCTCTCCTCCCCTGAGCAGCCGCAGCTCCCCCCACTCTCCAGCGCAGGCGGGGCCCGGCACGTGGGCAGGTGCCATCCCGCGCCCTAAAAATAACGGCAGGGAACTAGGTCGCGGCCGCCGGGAGGCGGCCCCGCAGCGGCTGCCTGACTGGGGGTCTGAGGTGACCCCCAGAGGGAAGATGAGGTGGCAGGGTGGGGGAGCGCCATGGAATATGGGGCCCTAGGGAGCCTGTCTGCAAAGCTGAAGAGGCCAGCCCTGAAGGGAGGAGGAGAATCAGACTCTCATATCGCTATTCAAGAGGTTGGAGGTGGAGACATGCAGAACCCAGGGCCCCAAAGTGAAGCACTGTGCTGCACCCCGGAAGGGGTTTGGGTCACTGATTGTCTGACCCATCCTATCTTAAAATGGATGGGGTGGAGCCCTACTAGTTACAGTGCACTCTCATTATGCTTAGACTGACAGGAGTCTCAGCACCGGCACCCACCCACCCACCCAGGACAAGTCTCTGGACTCTGCAGACTGGGACTTTCTGATGGTAGAATGATCTGGGGATGAAAATGATCAGGAGAACAGACAGCAATGATGTTCCAGGGAGCACTGACTTTCCACCAGGGATGGTGCAGCCTCTAGGGAGGGCACTCTGGCCTGAGGCTGGCCAGAGACAGGGTGGGGGAGGGGGGAATGAGGCCGCCAGTCAGTTGGGGACCAGATTTTCTCCTGGGGCAGGAGTGTCTAATCCCCTAATCCAGGATTGCTTTCTGGGCTTCCACAGCTAACATGCTCTCTGTGTTTCTCCCCCCTCTCCTGAGATCAGGTCCCAGAAGCTTGATCATCCTGGAACCCCTAGAATACAGGTTTGAGTCAGTGTTGGAGAAATCTCAGAAACTGGCCCCAGAGCTTTAAACCCTTTAAGTGTCTGGAAGGCCTAAACATGTGAAGGAATGAACAAATTAAGGAAAGATATTTTCAAACTCACCTTAACACCAAACACTAGTCCTCTAAATTCCAGGAGAGTTATAGGACCAGAGAAGTATTATTTTTCTTACCTAATACACAGCTTTCATTTTTACAGATGAAAACACTAAGGACCAAAGAGGGGCAATGATTGCCTAGTTCATGGGCAGAACTCTAGAATCCAGTTCCCTTCACTCCAATTTAGGGCTCTTATCCTTGGAAGAACTTTCTTTGAACTAGTCTTTCCTTCAATAGAAGAGACAGCATATAGCATCTCATATGGCTACTAGCTCCTTTAAAAAAGGAACAGATATTGGGTCTGATGAGCCCTTTCCTTTTTATGCTCAGGCTTCAGAGATTCCAAGCTGGAATGGACTCTTGATTTTCAATGGAAAGGAGACCCAGAAGACCTTCAGGGGTCCTAAAGAGCCTTCCATATCCACAGAGACCCCTTTCTAAGACAGGACCATTCAGAACCATGGACAAGGCTCACTGCTCCAATTCTGATACAAATTTGTCCAGGACTTCAGACAAGTCAGTGTTCAGTTGCTGACTCAAAGATGCTTCCGAGGCACCCACCAACAACATATTGCTGCCACTTGGTTTTGAAGGGTCTGATGTTGACACTAACCCTTTAGGGTGGAGAGTTAGCTATTCAGTCGAGGTATGCACATTGGTATTCTGGGTTGGAAGGGGACACACAAAAAAAGGTGAGATGATTTAGGATTGTGAGAGGGATTAAAAGGGTAGTAGGTGGGGAAGGCCAGTGTTCAAGAATTCCCCAGTGCTCCACTACTACTGCCACCAGCAGTAGTACACTATGGTATTCCATTACTCTGTGGAGATGTGTGACATACTAAAAACATGTCAAGTGTGTTTGTCTAAGTGCTATGGAATAAAGCAGATGCTGTAGTTTTCAGCATCTCAGGTCTGCAACATTCCCCTGGGGTTATTTCCTTTAATGTGTGGCCCAGAGCTAGGGTAGCTCTGACTACTTGGAGCCAAACCATGGGGACACCCAGGTCCCTGGGGAGTTCAGGTGAAGGTAGAAGTGATTCCTCCTCCCCTGGCCACCCCATCTGTCCACCCTCACCAGAATTCTGATCTCAAGAGCCATATGGAATTCAGGAGGTAGTGGAATTCTGTGTATTTCTGGGGAAAACCAAGTTCTTTTCTCTGAGCCTCAATATCTCATTTGTAAAACAAAAGGGCTAGGCTGCATAATCCTATTTCCTCCTGCTCCATATTAGCCTCCGACTAAAGCCACAGAGCCCAGACCTGAAAGGGGACATCGCAAGGAGAGACCTCAATCCTTCAGTTTATGTCCCTTACCTCCCAGGGAGACTGGGCCCTAACCTAGCCTCATGGTGAGGGTTTGAGAAAACGCTTGCAGGCACCTCCTACACTGCCAGCCTGGCACTGGCCGGCAAGAAGTAGCTCTCATCTCTGAACCCCAGGGACCCAGCTGCCTGCTCAGCAACGCTTCCTTGCCCAGAGGAGGGTCTGATGCTGAGGAACCCCTCATTAAAGCAACACAAGATGCAGAGCTGGGGTGGGGTCCTATTTTGAACTCTGAATCATACCCCCTCCCACCTTATATTTCCCAGAGGTGGGGGAAGCTCAGAGAAGCTGCCCCCTGGGTGTCAGGATTTGGGGACTGGAAGAGACTTTTTAGAATATTTTCCCCACCACCACTTCCAGTGAAATTGGAATCTGGGAATGGAAATGGGACGGAAAGAATTTTCTTCATGGGGTGAACTTGTGACAGCGGGGACTAGTGACCTCTATCCCAGGCTCCATCCATTGAACCAGGACAGGGAACTGTCAGGAGAAACCCGGAACACCTGACTGGGTCCTTTCCCCTCAGAAAGCAGACAGTGTTCCCCGCAGGGCTCAATTCTTATCCTTCCTTGTCTCGTGACATCACCCCATGACCTACCTACCTCCCCTCAGCTGTGGCCTCATGGAGCCGAGGTCCTGAGCCCCCTCCTTCACGCTTCTTCTCTCCCACCTGCATAGCCCGTCTTCCAGACCCGGAAGCCCAGCAGTGACTCGGTGAGTCCAGCACCCCGCACACCCCACACGGGGCTCGCCGCAGAGCACGTCAACCACCACTGTCTCCGTGGCAACCGGGGGCTTAATTAACAGGCTGCAGCCCCGTCGCCATAGAAACAGCACCCCCAACAGCCCCCCACTACACTGCAGATTCAGCCCGTCTTCCCTGATTCCCAATCTGAACCCCTTCATGCACCCACCCCGACTCCCACCCCACCAGGAAAGCTAAGGCCTGCAGATCTCTCTGGTTCATTGAGAAGAGAGGAGGGGGATGAGAGAGGAGAGAGAGAGAGGGAGAAAGAGAGAGAGAGACCTGTCACCATGGCAACTGCAGCCCGTTCATAACCAGTTTGTTGCCATGGAGATTCCCAGGGCTCACCTTGGGCTGAGGTACTGGGCAATGAGGCTCTGAGTCCTGGCTTAGGATGAACAACTAGAGAACTCCTTGGACAGAGAAGATCCCTCTCCCCAACCCCTCTCTCTCTCTCTCTCACACACACACACACACACACACACACCAGTAATAGTAACAGCATCATTTTTCCCAATTTACAGTTGGAGAGAGTGAAACATGAGGTTTGGGTCTGGAGGAGGCAGATGGCTCTGCCCTTCTAGATCCTTAAAACCTCTTGGCATCTTTTTGGCTAGAGGGGTGCTCAGAAAGCTTGTGTCATGCTTTATACTACAGGTAGGTGACCCGAGACCCAGAGGGGAAATGCCAAGGCCAGAGCACAGAGCCGGAGGTGGAGATGGCTGGGCTGTCTTGTAGTCTTGCCCTCTCCCCCTGTCTCCATCCGTGGGCACACATCCCAACTCCTGTAGTCTCCCCAGGTCCTGAGTTCTTTCTGGGAGGTATAAAAGGGCCGGGGAATAGCTCAGCATTGTAACAACCTGTCCCAAGTCCAATTCTCTCCAGCCAGATCCCAACAGTCTTCCCATGGTGCAGGTGGGGCAACTGAGACACGCAGGCCCAGCCTTGGACTTGGTTCTTCACCACCTGTAGGTCAAACTGCTGACACCTGATCCCCTGGAAGCTGGAAGCACGACGAAGGGAAAACCCCGCCCCCTTGAACAGAGTAATCGACACACACATGGGCTCTGCAAGATCTCCTCCAAACCTCCCACACCTGTAGTGCTGCCACCTCTCCCTTTGTGCCCAGGGACAAGAGTAGGGAGAGCATCTCTCTGGGACCAGAGGGCTGATGCAAGAACAGCTGTGGAAAAGATACCACCAGATGCTCGTTCCCCTGAGGAGCCTCGTCTAGTTCCCACTGAGTGACCTTCAAGCAGGTGTGCGAGGCTGCAGAGATTAAGAGGTTAAAAGTCACCCACTCTCAAGACAGAACTTTTCATACACTCAGGTCCCTCCCCCCAAGAAAGACACAGAAACATACACACCAACATGCCAATCAGCACACTGGCAATGCAGTAACACACATAAGCCCTGACTCACCAAGCACCACAGGGACCTCCCTTTTCAGGACACACACACACACACACACACACAAAGCCTCTACCACAAGCACACGGCATCCAAGAATCACATCCATATTGTATGCACATCTGCACACCAGAAACCTGAGGAGTGTGTCTCACTTCCATAGTACAGAAGCTTGGGAGTGTGGATGAGAAGACTAAGCTGTCACCTTGGGACACAAGAGAGGGTCATCTTATTCCCAGGTCAGGGATACAGAAGGAGGTAATAAGGTAGGAGAAGTATGAGACTAGAGTCACAATCTCTCACCCATGGGCATCAAACACCTACTAAATGCCAAGCTCTGGGCCTGAAACACAAAGATAAAAGGATATGGCCCCTGTCCTTGAGATGCTCCAATGGAGGAGACACATAAGAAAATAACTGCCA